ATTTGTCAGAGAAAACATCTGAGGCCTTTGTATTGTAAGTTAAAATACTGAACCCTCCATCACTAAATGTAAATACAAGCACAATTGCCTAATAAAAGTCTATATGAGTATGTGGGAGTGTACTCATATTCTCCAAATGCACAAGCCTTCAAAAATGCAAACCATAGGAGGGCGCTAATCATGCTGATATCCTTCAAAATACAATTGTTAGTTGTGATAGGCTTTTTCAGGTTAATATAATAGTACCAAATTTAAATGGATATTCATTTTTGTCATTTAATAGATAACAGTGTATAAAAAATTCTGTTAACAATAAGTTACCTGTGGAGGACTTTATTATTCATTATACTGGGGTGGGAATTTAACTGTATTTTTGGAAGGATAATAAGAAGAGCGTGATTCATTTAAAAGTTGATAAATGTGCTTCATGAAACTTTTTTGCTGCTTTTTCCACAAAGAAAGGAAATTAAGGGGGGCAAAGAGTGCAGTTCAGTGTTAGTGCTGATTGCCTCATACACACAGGTCCTGGGTTTTATTCCCAGTACCAAGAAGAAAAAGAAAGAACAAACAACCCTAGAAAGAAAACTGAGAGCTCTCTTAGACATTTTTTGGGTTCTTCTCTCAGATATGATATTATTATGTTAAGTGACATTCAAATAGACTAGGGAAAAAACATGAGAATTTGTTTTCTTATACCAATAAATAGGTCTATATTTAGAAAGGGGAAAAGGTAAAACACATGCACCTGGGATAAGGCTCTTGCTCTATTCTTTGTTAGGATGGCCCCAAACAAGGGTAAGATGACGCCCATTTAAATTATGGATAAAATGGATGATTTTTTTCTGTAATGATAGTGTGATTCCAAAGTAGGAGGAGATATAATACAAAACTAAGTAAGATTCTGGGTAAATTAGAAAAAGTATACAAAGCCTAGGAAGTGTTTTTAAAGAAAAGAGATAGAATTTGTAAAAGATGTTATATGTAATAGAATTGACAAATTATTATGGGTTTTGCAGAGACTAAACAGGTATCACATGTGCACCGGTGTTATTATAAAGATTGTTTCTTGGTTCAAAACTATTGTACAAACTGAATGTGCTTTTGCCCTTGTTCATTTTATTTGTATTTTCTTTTAAAACTTCATCACTTGCCTCTTAGTGTTAGGTGGAAGTACAACTTCTAACAGAATAATCTGCCTTAACTTGAGGTAATAAGTCTTCATTGACCAGACAAGATATTACCCTGAATCCCAATACTAATACTGACCCCAATTAAGTGGAAGGGATAAATGTAAAATTACGACATCAAAATATAAACCCACTATTTCTACTTCAGGACTGGGGGAGCCAGTCTTCTGGGTGTTCAACAATCAACCCAAATTTGGAGATGAAAGTGAAGGAATATAAAAGGGTTTGGAAAAAATAGCTAATATTTTGGTCCTTGCCCTCTAAGGACAGTCAGGACCCTGGAAATGGAAGTCTCTCTAAGGGCCCTACAACTCCAGTGAGTCACCCAAACACCTGATGAGGGAGGGAATCTTGAGGGCCCTAGAAATCAGGGAGACAACCACTGTGCATTCTGCAAACAGGAGGGTCACTGGAGTTTTGTCCAGTACAGGGTTCACTTACTTGGCCTTGAACTCCCAACAGGGAAGTATAACCAGAGACAGATGGGCTAATGTGAGGGTGGAAGAAAAGTTTAAGAATGTCATGTTGGGCAATTAAAGGGGAAGTCAGTGGCCCCTTGGAATGTAACTGGAGATGTGCACTTGTCGGCTCTTTGCAAAAGTCCAAAATTGATAGTGAATGTGTTATAGACACAATTGCCTGACTCCAAAGCCTATCCACCAGGCTCCTCTGCAGAGAAGCCTGGACTGATAGCTTAGACAAAGACTATTTACTCAGAAACAAGAAAATGAATGTGTTTTTTTCTGACCCAATCATTTGGAGTGTTTTTAGTAGTCCATACTCATGGAGGTATTTAATAGAAGAGAGTATCCTTTTCATGATTTATGTAGTGGGACATCTTCACACGTTGACATCCTTTGTATTCAGCTTTATAATTTATAATGAAGCTTCTACTTTCAGGCTTAAGCATGTGACCTCTTTTAATTACTGGCTTCAGTTATTGTTTTAAGACTAGTTTTCACTGGGCCAAGAATCTACAGAGTCAGATTGACTGACAGCTCAGGATCCTCAAGACTGACTAAAGGACACAGAAAGAGAGAAATTTTTTAAATTATTTTTATTTATATATGACAGCAGAATGCATTAGAATTCTTATTATACAGATAGAGCACAATTTTTCATATCTCTGGTTGTATACAAAGTATATTCACACCAATCTATGTCTTCATACATGTACTTTGGATAATAACGACCATATATTCTATCATCTTTTCTAACCCCACACCCCCTTCCTTCTCCTCCCACCCCTATATCCTATCTAGAGTTCATCTATTCCTCCAATGCTCCCTCTCTCTATTCCACTATGAATCAGCTTCCTTATATCAGAGAGGACTGGGGATATAGCTCAGTCGGTAGAATGCTTGGCTTACCTCACATGCACAAGACCCTGGGTTCAGTCCCCAGCATCGCCAAAAAAAGGTGGGGGGAGGGGGGAAATTAGAATAAGGACTTAAACTCTTCACTTTTCCTACAAATATCTAGTGAGTGGCTAAAAGCAAAGTTAAAGACTTGGCAACTCTGCCAACATTTGTAACCTTCTCTTTTGCTCTGAGTCATCATGGATTCCTCAAATAAAGCCTGATCTGATAAATATCTTGTAATGAGTCAAAGCTCTCACCCAGGCAGCAGTTCATTTTCCTTCCTTGACAGAACCCAGACTGACCAAATGAGAGGTGATTTGCACACCTGTTTGAGAACACCTGCTTAGGTTGCTGTGAAAAGCCTCTGACTATTCAAACCTTACCTCAGATTTCCCTTTCCATAAAATCTCAGGATAAGTAGGTTTCATTGTACCTGCCTGTAATTCCAATGAGATGACAACAGTAGAGCTAGTTTGAAGCCAGACTCAGCTATTTTTCTAGACCCTGTCCCCAAATAAAAAAATTAAAAAGGGCTGGGGATAAAGCTTGATGGTAAAATGTCCCCTGAGTTCAATCCCCAAATGAAAAAAGTAAGAAAATAAACAAAACATAAAATTTCAGTGTTATTGTCAGGCCTACAAAAGCAGGACTAAGGACAAGGATGCCCCCATCTTCCCATATTAGCTGCACTAATCAAAGATACTTCCTTGCTTTTTACCATTGCCTTTTCTGTTCAGTGTTTGGGGTGAGTGGCTGGACCTAATTTGTTTGGATCCCCAGAGTCAGGCCTCTGTCCTAGGATTGACTTACACAGCTCACTTACCTTGCAGTGAGCCATCAAAGTGGGAAAATGGAGAAAATCCTGAATTATAAGCTTGAGGAAGCATTTTGCTATAAATTCCTTAACATAGTGGCTAAAGTGCTCAAAGTTTAGTACTGCTTCCCTCAACTCCAGTCATAATCAAGACTGATAACTTTGCTTGGAGCAGGAAGAAGCAATTTGGTCCAGACCTTCAATTTCAAACCCAATGCCAGGTCTGCTCCCAGACAGATCCATATGACTGCTGCCTCAGCTTGTCCCTGCCACTTGGCCAGTTAATCCAGGACAGCAGTCACAACTCCTCCACACCTTTGAAAGCAAAGTTGAATTGAAGACTCCATCAGATGGGAACAGTGCACAAAAGTTAGCATAGCCATTTTCCTTGAAGCTCAGTTCCAGTCCAACCCTGTTGAATGAAGAATAGAAGAGACTCTCATTTGGAAGAACAAGCAAAAAATGTTCTCCAAGAAAAAAAAAGAATGCACAAGGAAAATGCAGGTACAAGACAATAAATAAATACAGAGGACTGAGACAGAATGAAGCATTTCAACAAAATCAGTTTTCCAAGAAGGTTGAGCAAGCATGGATTTCAGAATATGGTTGAGAAAATTCTCTGTATTGAAGACCAATGTGAAAAAACAGCATAAGAGCTGACTGTAAAAATGAAGTGCAACACAATTGAGGCTTTGAAAGTTGTATCAGACTTCAATTGTATAGTTGTGACCAATCAATGTTCAGTGATTTAAAATACTTTGTACAAGATATAAGGCTGAAACCCAATCCTATAGAACCTGAGTAGAAGGGACAGAGCCTGGAAGAAGTCTTATCATCATGAAGCTGCATGGATCATTGTAGGAAATGTGTATCTTGTGTCTCATAGGGATTCAGTCACCACTTTTGCTTCAGTAATCCACAAGGATATTCACAAGATTAGAATCTATAGCTTACCTGTGTTCTACAACACCATGGCATCTCCAATTATGGCCAGTTCTAGAGAATCCCAGACAACCTTTGTGACACTGAGCAAGCTGGGGGGTCAACTTTCTGTTACCACATGTTCAAGTGTGGTGTCCTAACCCAATACAGTGTTGAGTTGAAATGACCTCTATATCAACATTATTTTGATTAAATATCCAACACATGTGGGAGCTTGCATCGTGAATGATGGATTTGGGGCTAAAATAATGAACGGAGAGAGTCACCATTTTTACTTCCGTATATAGCATCACGGCTGGCAAACATAGACAAGTGTGACACCACTGTTTTCAAACGTTGGCCATACACAACACCCAGTGGATGCACAGAGTCACAGTCTCATCAAACAGGCTGAAATTCAAATAATGATGGAACTACAGTTCTAATATCTGTGCTGAATGCACAACCAGTTTCCTTCAACACTGCTGCCCAAGTCACAGGTTGTACCTTTCAGAAAAGAGACACTGACAACCACATGCTCATCCCATCCTGCTTGCCTGAGGTCCCAAAGAGAAAGCAGGGATGCCAGACATCCTAGTGTGTCAGGTGTGAGGTCACCCAGCTCAAAGGTTCCACTGTTCAGCTTCTCCTTATAAAGGGAGCTACCCCATTTTCCCACAGCACAGACTTGGGAGCAACTACAGATCCTCCTTCAAGATGCTGGTGGTCCTGCTCACAGTGGCCTTGATGGCCCTGAGCCCAGCTCAGAGGTCAACTGAAGGTATAAGGAAACGTTGGTGGGGAGCGGGGTGCTGTGGTTTGACTCTGCTTAGGGTCTGGGAGATGACCACACTTCAGAGAGAGGAGGGAGAAGAGAGGGAAGGACATGAAAGGACACACTGGACTGCAGAATTCTTAGGACGGGGGTAAGAATGAACAGTTATGACTTCATTCCACATCAAGGCCTTAGCTTATATTTAAAATATAATAGGGGTATCATAAAATATTTGGCCAGAGGAATGACAGAGTAAGCTCGGATTGGTAGGCTAACCTCTGTGTACTCTGAAATGAACAGGATGGCAGAATGGCAAATGGCAAGAGTCGATGGGGCAGTCCAGTTGTGAAAACAGTATCACAATCAAAGGAGAAGTAGGTTTTCCTCCCTGTGCAGAGGAAGGAGGTTTATGTACATCAGAGCTGCCTGAGACTCAGAGAATCATATAATAATTTGACTCTGTCTACTTAGAGAGATAAAAATATCAGAGCCCAATTTTCATATTTTATTCCTGCCCAATTTCAGTACTGCAATGTGCTATAAGTGGTATATATGATTCTATGCCCAAATATTTATTGTTGGTTTCCCCACCTGAGAAAGCATGTGAAGACAAACAACAGATTTAATAAATAAAAGGGGAAATGCATGACAATATATGGCACTGAAATACCCAGAAAACTTAACAAATAGTCACAGCAAATTTTGAGGAATCATACCCAGGAAAAGTGTCTCCATCAATTAATTTTTCCTATTTCCCCTCAGGAATTCTCCAGTTCTCCAAAGTTGTCATTATTTGAGGGAATTAGCAATTATTAGTTTTCCAAAAAATATGGACAAGCCTCCCCAAATTAGATTCTGAAGACCAGATGTAGGACCACCAACTCAAATAACAGGGAGCCCTGGCTTCCATGACAAGACTAGGCTGTCTGCTCCCCCCCAGGTAGAAATGACTTCTGGGACATGATGCATGAGTGGGAAGGGTAATGATGTACGAATAGGCAGCATAACTGATGTTTACAGTCCTTTCATTTTGTTTCTCTTCTGCCTTTGGACATACCCTAAACTTCATCTTTTCCTATTGAAGGACAAGTGCTTGTTCTGGAGACAGATATGAGATGTTCCATATGATTAGTATACTGTTGAGAGGAGCTCTTCATGAGGAAGGAGAGGTCATGTGGGAGGATGGCAGTTGTAGGATCCTCCAGTAGAAGTTGAGATCACAAAGGGAAACAGCAAGGAGAGTTTCCATCATTAATCTCATGCATTCTTCTGCCATCTCCACACAGGTATTGATGTACGAAGTGAGAAAAGGCACCAGCGACCTCAGGGAACACCTAATGGAGCATTCAGACCTCCACCCCCTGCTGGTAATAGAAACCACAAGGAGAGTCCTGTGCAGAGACCACCTCAACAAGGAGGCCTACGGCAGCTGCAACAGCAGCCAAATGGCCTCCTTGATCCAGGAGA